TTTGGAAGCATTAACCTCTGGCCCAGCAAAGGGTCACTTTGCATCAGAGACAAGAGTGCTGCTTTCTCTTCTGAACATTGAATCCGTGCCGGTTGCCACCCAGAGTTAGATATTCTTGGGCAACGTTTCTTGCTCAGCCAGTTTCATCATGTGAGAAAGTGAAATAAAATGACAAAGCTGTTATACGTGATAAAATACATATAAGATGGTTTCACATTTGAGTCCATTTCACTATTATTCAATAATTTAAACAATACCTGAAAATTGTAGTCGCTACTTTTGTGGTGATGGCAATGGTTTAAAAATATAAACATTAGCCCCCCCTGAACGTGGGTGTCAGGTGAGGGGGCTTGGGTAATCTATGGGGCCTCTGGCAGTGGAACCAGTATTTATCCCTAGTGCAGGAATGTGCTTTGGGAGCTCATTCCCTATGGAGGGATACTCTCTCAGCTTAGATACATTACAGGGGAGGGCCTAGGTTCTACCCCAAATGGTGTGGCAGACTTTGATGATCCCCCATGGGAGTCCTCTCCCTCCCTGCGGAGTGGATGGGGGTGGGACAGAGGGTTGGTGGGGGGTATGGGAGGACAGGAAGGAGAGGGAACTGGGATTGGTATGTAAAACAAGTGTTTTTACTCTGTACAATAAAGGAACTTCTGGAGGTATCACCATCCCTGACGTCAAGCTCTATTACAGAGCTATAGTCCTGAAAACAGCTTGGTATTGGCATAAAAATAGACAGGTAGACCAATGGAATAGAGTTGAAAACACCAATATTAACCCACACATCTACGAACACCTGAATTTTGACAAACAACCTAAATTTATACAGTGGAATAAAGAAAGCATCTTCAACAAATGGTGCTGGCATAACTGGACTCTGGAATGTAGAAGACTGCTGATAGATCCATGTCTATCACCATGCAAAAAACTCAAGTTCAAATGGATCAAAGACCTCAACATCAATCCAGCCACATGGAACCTATTAGAAGACAAAGTGGGGAATACCCTTGAATTAATTGGAACAGGAGACCACTTCCTGAACATTACACCAGTAGCATAGACACTGAGATCAATAATTGATAAATGGGACCTCCTGAAACTGAGAAGCTTCTGTAAGGCCTAAGGACACAGTTAGTAAGATAAAACAGCAGCCCACAGACTGGGAAAAGATATTCACCAACCCCACACCTGACAGAGGGCTGATCTCCAAAATATACAAAGAACTCAAGAAGCTAGTCTCCAAAACACTAAACAATCCAATTAAAAAGTGGGGTACAGAGCCAAATAGACAATTCTCAATAGAGGAATCTAAAATGACTGAAAGGCACATAAGAGAGTGTTCAACATCCTTAGCCATCAGGGAAATGCAAATCAAAACAACACTGAGATACCATCTTACTCCTGTTAGAGTGGCTAAAATTAAAAAAAAAAAAAAACACCAATGACAGTTTATGCTGGAGAGGATGTGGAGAAAGGGGAACACTCCTTCACTGCTGGTGGGAGTGCCAACTTGTACAGCCACTTTG